ATAGTAGTGTACTTTAACACCTCACTGTAATCACTGGATAGATCTTCTAGACAAAAAATTAACAAGGACACAAAGACCCTAAATGGTGCACTAGATTAGTTGGATTTACTTGATATTTACAGAACATTTCACCCCAAAGCTGAAGCATACACATTCTTCTCAAGTGCACATGGGACATTCTCAAAGATAGACCACAAATTAGGACAAGAAGATTGAAATCATATCCATCCTCTTCTTAGATCACAATGGCATAAAACTAGAAATCAATGACAATAAAAACATTCAAAAACAGTCAAACATATGGAGGCTAAATAGCATTTATTAAACAATGAATGGGTTACCAATACAATCAAGAAAGAAATAGCCCTGGCCGGTTTGGCTCAACGGTTAGAGCATCGATCTGCGGTCCAGACAGACCAAGGTTCGGTTCCCACTAAGGGCATGTACCTCAGTTGCAGTTTGTCCTTGGCCCTGGTTGGGTCATGGGGGTGGCAACCACTCTATGTGTCCCTTTCACGTTGATGTTTCTCTCTCTCCCTCTCTCTTCCTCTCTTTCCCCCCTCTCTATCTGACCAAGAAATGAAAAAATGTCCTTGAGTGAGGAGAAGAAAGAAAGAAAGAAAGAAAGAAAGAAAGAAAGAAAGAAAGAAAGAAAGAAGAAAGAAAACACTTCCTGCAAACTAATGAAAATAAACACACAACACAAAATCTATGGACAAAGTGAAAACAGTCCTGAGAGGGAAGTTCATAGGAATACAGGCCTACCTCAAGAAACAAGAAAAATTGTAATAAACTATGTACCCTACAACTTAAAGATTTAGAAAGGGAACATGATGCAAAACCCAAAGTAAATAGAAGAAAAGATATAATAAAGATCAGAGCAGAAATAAACAACATAGCAACTAAAAAAAAAAAAAAATACAAAAGCTCAATGAAACAAAGAGCTGGTTCTTTGAAAAGATAAACAAGATTGATCAACCCTTAGCTAGATTCACCAAGAAACAAAGAAAGAGGACCCAAATTAATAAAACCAGAAATGAAAGAGGTGAAGTAACAACTAACACCACAAAAATATAAAGGATCATAAGAAAATACTATGAACAATTATATGCCAACAAATTTGACAACCTAGGCAAAATGGACAAATTCTTAGAATCATACAGTCTTCCAAAACTCATTTTGGAGGAGTCAGAAAACCTGAATATACCAATAACCAGCCACTATGGAAAACAATTATAGTGTTTCCTCAAAAAATGAAAAATGGAACTGCCATTTCACCCAGTGATCCTACTTCTCAGAATATACCCTAAGAAGCCTGAAATACAAATCAGAAAGAATCTATACACCCCTATGTCCATAGCAGTGCTGTTTACAATAGCTAAGATCTAGAAACAGCTCAAGTGCCCATCAGTAGATAAATGAATAAAAAAGCTGTGGTACAGGTACACAATGGAATACTATGCAGTTGCAAGAAAGAAAGATCTCTTACCCTTTGAGACGACATGAAGGGACCTGGAGAACATTATGTTAAGTGAAATAAGCCAATCAGAGAAAGACAAATATCACATGATCTCACTTATTTGTGGAATATAATGAACAGAATAAGCTGATGAACAAAATAGATCCAAGACATGGAAGTAGGGAACAGACTGACAAACCTCAGAGGGAAGAAGGGTTAGGGGGCGGGTAGGGATAAACCAAAGAACTTATATGCATATATACACAACTAATGGACACAGATAACAATGTACTGAAGTTGGGGATGATTAGTGTCAATTGGGGGAAAATGAGGTACATCTGTAATAAAAAAGTAAATTAAAAAAAATAATATACTAGCCCTGGCCGGTTTGGCTCAGCGGTTAGAGCGTCGGCCTGCGGTCCTGAGAGACCCAGGTTCGGTTCCCGCTAAGGGCATGTACCTCGGTTGCAGTTTGTCCCCGGCCCTGGTCGGTTGTGCGGGTGGCAGCCACTCGATGTGTTCCTTTCACATCGATGTTTCTCTCTCTCTCTCTGTTCCTCTCTCTTCCTCCCACTCTACCTGAACAAAAAATGGAAAAATGTCCTCGGGTGAGGATAAAAAATAATAATAATAATAATAATATACTAAAGTCATAAGTAGATCCAGTACCATTATTATTCTACAAAGCTTGTATTCACTCAAATGAGAGCTTTGATGGCCCAAAATGGCATTTTGTTCCTGTATTTTCCTGTAATTTACATAAAATAACTGTATTAAAAAAACTGTAATGTTGTTCAAAATAATTGTTGCAGTTTGGTTTATCTCTCTTTTTCTCTTTATCTCATTTTCTCTGAGATCCTAATTTAGATTAATAATCTGAAATATTTTTATAGTAATACTATAACCATATTTTTGACTTATTTGATCCAGGTAAAGATACATAATTTTAACTTCCGGTCAAGATGGCGGGGTAGGTAAACGTGGTATCACGTCCTCCCACAACCACATCAAAGTTACAACTAAACTACAGAAAAATATCATTCAAAACTGCCTGAAATCAAACTGAATGGAAGTCCTACAACTACAAAATTAAAGAAGCAGCTGCATCGAGACTGGTAGGAGGGCTAGATGTGCAATGGGCTGGTCCCACACCCACATGTGGCAGATACAAATCAGGAGGACACCTCGGCTGGGAAGGTCCTCCCTGAGGACTGAGGGTTCCCTGTCCCACACCAGACTCCCCACTCAGGGTTCCAGTGCGAGGAAGAGAAGTTCCCATAACTTCTGGATGGAAAAACCAGCGGGAACTGAGGCTCAGGGAGGCTGAGGCAGCTGGAGCCCCAGGCAGCTCCTCTTAAAAGGCCTGCGCTCGGACTTATCGGACTCTCTCCCTCTAAGCTTGGAGGGGAGGCAGCTCGAGGGGCACCAGAGACATACAGGGAAGAACTGAGCTGTTTGGCATTAGAGCGAGGGTTGGAGAGGGGGCTTTCTCCAGGACAAAAGTGCTGTCAGAGGCCTTTGTTCTTTTGGTGAGCCCTTCCCTGGGGCAGCAGACAGCCGCCATATCTGGGACTCCAACAACCTGGCATACACTGTTTGCCCCACCCTGGTGATTCCCTGAGGCCCCCCCCCCACCCAACTTTCAGGCCCACCCAAGCTGTTGCCAGTTGCTTCACCATAGGATTGGCCTGTCTTGGATTCTGCTTCAGGTTTTCCTAAATCCTTTCAAACAAGCAGCATCTGGTCTCAGTGTGCCCCATACCTCTCCTTAAGTAATACACAGAAACAAACACAGGGAGGCAGCTAAAACGAGGAGACCAAGAAACAGATCCCAAATGAAAGAACAGAACAAAACCCTAAGAAAAGAACTAAGCGAAATGGAGATAAGCAACATGACAGATGCTGAGTTCAAAATACTGCTTATAAGGATGCTCAGTAAACTTAGTGAGGGCCTCAAGAGCATTAAAAAGGACCAGTCAGAAATGAAGGATGCACAGTCAGAAATGAAGGAGGCACTTACTGAAATAAAGAATAATTTACACAGATTCAATAGTAGAGTAGGTAAAGCCAAGAAGCAAACCATCGATTTGGAATATAAGAAAGCAAAAAACACCTAATCAAAACAGCAAAAAGAAAAAAGAATTTTAAAAAATGAGAATAGTGTAATGAGGTTCTGGGACAATTTCAAGCGTGCCAACATTCACATCTTGGGGGTGCCAGAAGGAGAAGAGAGAGAACAAGAAATCGAAAACCTATTTGAAACAATAATGACAGAAAACTTCCCTAACTTGGTGAAGGAAACAGACATACAAGTCCAGGAAGCACAGAGAGTCCCAAACAAGATGAACCCCAAGGGACTCACACCAAGACACATCATCATCAAAATGCAAAAGGTTCAAGACAAAGAGAGAATCTTAAAAGCACCAAGAGAAAAGCAGTTAGTCACTTACAAGGGAGTCCCCATAAGACTTTCAGCTGATTTCTCAAAAGAAACTTTGCAGGCCAGAAGGGAGTGGGGAGAAATATTCAGAGTGATGAAAAGCAAGAACCTACAACCAAGATTACTCTATCCTGCAAAGTTGTCATTTAGAATCGATGGCCATATAAAGAGTTTCCCAGACAAGAAAAAGTTAAAGGAGTTCATCACCACCAAACTGTTATTATATGAAATGTTGAAGGGTCTTTTTGAAGAAAAAGATAAAATATATGAACAAACAAAATGGCAATGAATACATGTCTATCAGCAATGGAATCTACAAACAAAATGAACAGGCAGAACAGAAACATTCTCATAGATACAGAGAACACTTTGTTGGTTGCCAGACAGGAGGGGGGGTGGGGGAATGGGTAAAAAAGGTGAAGAGATGAAGAAGAACAAATTGGTTGCTAGACTGACAAACCTCAAAGAGAAGGGGGTGGGGAGGGGTGGGAAGAAATAAACCAAAGAACTTATATGCATAACCAATGGACACAGACAACAGTATGGGAAAAGGCGGGAGGGGGGCAGGAGTGGAGAGGAGGGGGTCAATGGAGGAAAAATGAGGAACATCTGTAATACATTCAACAATAAAGATAAAAAATACATAATTTCAGATGTGTAGTGAGATATGTGCTTCAATAAAAATAAAAGATATGATTCTTTTAGTGTTTAAGTTACCGTAGGGATTACAATAAATTGCTTTAAATTTCAGAATAAGATTATTGAATGTGTATGAACATTTTAACCTCCATGAATTAGTACAATGCAGGGATTTCACTGGAATATCAATAACTAGCAAAGGGACAGCCCATCAGTGAAAGGAGTGAGGTGCCAATGAGACTCACACCTGGGCAACAGCCCCGGCACTGCGAAAGTGAACTGTAATATTGGATAAATGGAATAATTTTGTTCCCTTTTTCCTTTTGGATCTAAAAATTATACATGTAAGATTGTATGAATATATCCTACAACTCATAATGGACATTAACTTTTACTTCCACATTACATGGGTCACTGTTCATACACATACGTATATTCCTAAGTAAAGTAAAAATATCTTGCCTTACAAACTCTTCCAACTCGAGAAAGAATCGTCTTATCAGAAGTACTGCCTTCTTGAGATGATTCACGGAAGAAGAAATATATTTTATCATCATCTGGATTATAGGTGTCTGGTATGGGGAAAGTTCCAATAAATTTCGCTCCTGTTTAAAACAAAAGAAGCTAAAAATTAAAATACTGAAATAATTTAGCCACAATACTACTGGCATCTTTTTTATGTCAAACAATTAGCAGAATTGAAAAAAAACAAAAAAACAAAAAAACGAACCATGAGTACAACGTGGGAAATAAGACACACGGAGAAACATGTTTCCCATGGAGAGGTCCTGAACAACTTTTCTAGGGTCTTTAGAGAGCAGGTAAGAACATGACAGGCTGATATTCACAGTTTGTGCAACTTGACTAAATTACTTAGCCCTTTCAAACATGAAGATTCTACGATTTATATTCTCTTCTTTTATGATGGCCTTACTGCTTTTTAGCCACAATATCTGTTATAGAAAGCTTAGGAAAAACTGTAAACATATCCTAAACTTTGTTATATTATGAAGTTATTTGCTGCATTTGGTGTAATTGCCAAAAAGGAAAAACATGAAATAAAAATACATAGTGTGTGGGTCACCTGCGGTATAGGCCTTGGAGACATTCTCTCTAGGTTTACGTCATATCTTTGCCACCTACTGGAAAGGTGACCTTAGGCAAATTATTTATTTTCTCCATGCTTGAATTTTCTCATACCTGATAAGAGATTACCAATACCTCCTTGGATAAATGATAACATGGATTAATATATGTAAAACATTTACATATGTGACTGACACATAAGGGTTCAGTAAATGTTTATGATTAAGGTGATAACTGAGATAATCATTATTATTATTATGACTACAAACAAGAAAATAATAGAAAATTATGTACCTCTAAACAATTCTTAGAATACTAGGTAGTCACTAATAATGAAATCGTTCTAAGTGTGCTGCCATGGAAAGATGCCATAATACAGAGCAGGTGAATAAATATTGGCAATACTTCATCAATGGCAAATCAATCTGAGTTACTAATTCCTTGTTTAAAAAGCATGGGGCATTTTAAGTACTAGTTGTGTATAATTGTGAATTAACCAGGTAACAGATCTGGAATTGGGTGATACTAGTTCAGAAATAATCTCTTTGATTAAAGCAAAGGAGACAAGGAGAGTGATAGAGAAATAAAGAAAGGACTTTAGCTAGGTAGAAAATACAGATACCCAGAAGGAAGCACAGAGCATTGTTCAGGGAATAGAAATAGGAAATAAAATAAGACCCCCCCCCCCCCCCCGGCCCCAAACACACACACATACACACACCGTAAGGGGGAAAAAAAGAGATGAAATGAGAGGTAAAAAAGATCAACATTGCCTTCTTCAGAGATTTGCACTGGACCCTGGTTGCTGTGTACCCCAGGAGACTAAAAATCTAGAGCAGTTGGTCAACTATAGTGCAAATGTAGAGCAGTTGGTCAACAGCCCAATAAACAAGGTTTCACAGTCATCCTCTTTAACAGGCAAAAGTTAATATTTGATTCCAAGTAATGAGTAGTTCAGTCTTTATCATCCCAGCCTCTAGGTCTGCCCTGGTCTCCCATCCAATTTTTTCTCTGCTTAAATGAGAAATGTTGAGAGGATAGGAGGGTGAGGAAGACATGAACACAAACTTTCTCTGCCTTGTTCTTTAGTACCTCCCTGCTCTTTCCCTGGAATTTAAAGCTCCATGGATTCCTATGCTCCTGATAATCTCACTTTGACATGATCCTGGATTATAGAAAAGTTAAATTTTAGTAAACCCATGTGGGATGTTTTAAAATTTCTTTAATTAATTAATCTTAAATTAGCAAGGTCCATTAACAATTCCCTGTTTTAAAATTTCTTTAATTAATTAATCTTAAATTAGCAAGGTCCATTAACAATTCCCCCTCCAGCCCATCTTTTCAATTGTTGATAAATCACAAACACTTGGTTTTGAATTCCTGAGCAAAGTAAAAGTTCTTTTTTAGTTACAAATTAACACTTCTCTTTTCTGATTTAACTATATTATGTTTTCTTAAAAAAAAAAAACTCATTGTGGAAATAAATTTTCTTACAAATACAGTATTAGGATTTGAGCAAATTCATGAAAACAAAGAATTTATTTAATTACGACTATTTCAAGGCACTCAGAACAAGAAAACTGGTAGGATCAAAGAATATAAAAATCAATAAAACTAACTCTTCACTGAAAACCAATTACAATCTATATAAGGAAATATTAACATATGGCCAAGATATATAGCTAAGAAGGCCCAGTCTTGATGTTTCCAATGACTTAAAAAGAGGTTGCAGCAACAAGTAGAGAAAAAGACAACCCACTGTGGGCTCTCACACACACAGACCAGATTAGTAGTAATTTTAGAACTCTTTTGAATTTATATATGACTCAATTCAATGTCCATTGTCCTGGATGAAATCCTCCAAGTGCACTTACATGTGTATTTTTGAAATATAGAGATACAAAAATAAATAAAACCTTATAGGTGATTCTTATAAGCAACTAAGATTAAGAATCACTGACAAAGACTACCATTTCATAGCATATAACAGACGGTCTTGTGTTTATTCAGTGACTTTGGGTTTTATTGAACTCTTCTTAAATTAAAAAAACATTGTATTGATTTTTATAGAGCTGAAGGGCGGGGGGAGAGAGAGAGAGACAGAGAGAGAGATCGGATGCCTCTTGCATGTGCCCCAACAAGGGATCGAAGCTGCAACCTGGGTATGTGCCCTGACCGGGGAATCAAATCTGCAACCTTTTGGTGTACAAATTGAAGCTCCAACCAGTTGAGCCACACGGGCCAGGCTACTGAGCTCTCTTTAAATGCTGGTTCTTTTTCCAGTAATATAAGAAAATTATTTTGGAGTGCTGTATGAAAATTGAATGCTGGAAGTGTTTAAGTCATATGTTTACTATATAAAGAAATCTAATTACAAAAAAAGAGTTTCAAATGGAACTCAGTTCTGATTTAAACAAACACATATTGTAAGTTAAAAATATATACATGTTCAAGAATAGTTTCGATCTTGCAGATTCAGTTGAGGTCCTTAGAACACTAATGTTATTGTTTCATAATAGAAACTCTTTCCTGACTTGCTGCCTAATTTGGGTAAAAATAGGTATCATGTAATCGATGTATGACATGCATTATTGCTTAATCAAATAATTTAAAAATCATACCAATAGTACCTGGGCTCTATTATAGCACATTTTTCCCCTTTGGCATATGAAACACATGCCCTGATAGGGATGGAGTTTGTACTCATGCATTTTCACAAATGAACTTTTAGCATGGCACCAAGAGTCACTGTCAATGAAAATGGCATAGATTCCATTGTGTACATGTACCACAGCTTTTTTTATCCATTCGTCTACTGATGGACACTTGGGCTGTTTCCAGATCTTAGCTATTGTAAATAGTGCTGCTACAAACATAGGGTACATAAATTCTTTCTGATTGGTGTTACAGGCTTCTTAGGGTATATTCCTAGAAGTGGGATCACTGGGTCAAATAGAAGTTCAACTTTTAATTTTTTGAGGTAACACCATATTGTTTTCCATAGTGGCTGCACCAGTCTGCATTCCCACCAGCAGTGCACTAGAGTCCCCTTTTCTCCACACCCTCGCCAACACTTGTTGTTTGATGTTTTGTTGATGCAGCTGTAAGAAAGAAAGATCTCTTATCCTTTGAGACGACATGGAGGGACCTGGAAAGTATTATCCTAAGTGAAACAAGCCAAACAGAGAAATACAAGTATCATATGATCTCACTTATTTGTGGAATATAATGAACATAACAGTCTGAGGAATGGGATAGTCCCAGAGATGTGGGAGTGGGGTATAGACTGACAATCCTCAGAAGAGTGGGTGGTGGGGGAGAGATAAAACACAGAACTTATATGCATGTATGCATGGACATGGACAACAAAGCTGGGGACAGGGCTGGGAGGGAGGGGAAGGTGGGAATCAGTGGGGGGGGAAAGGAGAAACATCTGTAACAAAAATAAATTAATTAAAAAAAAAAAAGGAAAGAAAATGGCATAAATCCATGTGGCCTGCAGTACACTCCACTTTTATTTCTCCCTTTGAACCTCTTTCACCCAGACAAGCTCGCCCACACCATGGCAATGCATAGTGACTTTCTTATTTTCCTTTACTTCTTGTAATGTCTGTTTTGTACTACATTTAAAAAGATTTTATCCTTTTGTGTGGAAGGAGAATTTATAGACAACAGAGCACTCAAAAAGAAACTTCAAATAAACACTGCTTCCATATGTTAAAAATAAAAAATTAAAACAAAACTTCTCCTTTACTCCGGGAAAGGAAACAAAAACATATGCATCTGAGGGGTCATTGTTTTCATTTTTTATACTCTGGTTTTATCCTAAAATTCTCACACGAAGTCCACTCTGAATACTCTGACTTTTACCTATAAGCCTATTTCCTGATATGTCCTAAGATTAAGTTGAGGGGGAAAAAAGTGTGGAATCATCTAAGTCTTCATCTAGAAATCCTCATAGTATTTCTATTTCACCTTTGCATTTGTTTCACTCTTCCGTTAGATATTTAATGGATGGGTTAGTTTCTCAAAGAAGGGATCAGGATTCCTACTTACGTCTTTTGGAACTGGATTAGACAATGTCCTCAAGAAAGTCTGACAAGGATCTTTGGACTAATAAGTGAAGAAGTTAACTGATCTCACTCTGGTTAATTCTAGGCAGGGCAAAGAACAAACTATGGCACACACACACACACATCAAGGATTTTAAAGTCCCTCAGTGGTCTGTGATAAAAATGGACTTAGAAAAGATTCGTGTGGTATCATATTTTTAAAATGCATCTTAACATCTAAATTGTCAATTGCAAATTTAATTTAGTTTTCTTATTTTATTTCATCTTAACATAAAATAAATTTACATTTACATCAGTTTAGTTCATCATAGACACGCAAAAAGCAGGATTTTAAATTGAAAATGAAAGTATGGAAAGCAAAATTTAACCGAAAAAAATCTCATACTATCTAACCAGGAATAAATAATACAATAATATAATAATATATTAGAAGAAATAAATTATACATTAAGCCCATTGTTTGAAATATCAAATATCTGCCAGTATTTTCAACCTGGCAAAAATGTTACAAAACCCAGGGGTGAGATTTATACCTACATGCTAAATGAATAGTAAAGAAAATTTACACATAAATTGCATTATGGTACTGTGGGCTCTGGTGCATAATTCATAAACAAGTACACTTTAGGCCATAGCTATTCAATAGAAATTTCCATGATGATGGAAGTGTCTTATATCTATGCTATCTAATGTGGTAGTCCCCAGCCCATGTGGTTATTGAGTACTTTATACATGACTAATGTGACTAAGAAACCAAATTTTAGTCTGGCCAGTGTGGCTCAGTGGTTGATTGTTGACCCATGCACCAAGAGGTCGCAGGTTCGATTCCTGGTCAGAACACATGCCCAGGTTGTGGGCCTGATCCCCAGTGGGGGGCATGCAGGAGGCAGCCAGTTGATGTTCTCTCTCATCGATGTTTCTATCTCTCCCTCCCTCTCACTTCCTCTCTCTGTAAAATCAATAAAGGAAAGAAAAACATTTTTTTAAAAAAGAAACCAAATTTTAAAACTACTTAATTTTAATTAATTGAAATTTAAACAGCCACATGTGGCAGTGTCTACCACACTGGGTTGTACAGCTATGGAGCAAGTAGACTGTCATTAGCTGTGCTGTTAGGTCCAGTGCTAAGGAAGGAATGAGTCTTTATCCCCATAACTTTATGCAACCAAAATGGAAGTCAAGCTTCCAAATTTAAGAGACATGATATGCTGTTCTTTCCATTATTGGTATTGTAATGGAAGGATAGGCTGGCTGTTAGACCTAGACATATCCCTTCTTCAGACTAAGTCTCAATTTGTGGAATTTGAGATTGAATAAGGTAATATCTGAGATAACATTCATTCCCAATAATCAACACAGTTCTTCTAACAAGTCACTGTATTTTGTCTCCTCATACTCCTGACACAAGCCAGATGACCCCACTGACCTGCCTTTGGACCCTAGGCTGACTGTATCTGAAAAATGGTCACTTCTCAAAACAGAGGACAGAAATGCTCCCTAAGCAAGCTAATTCGCTTTGCCTTAAGATTGCCAGGTACTTCCTCATTATAAGAATCTCATATAGTTTCTGTAATTTCTCCCTAGCTGTGTCCCAGTTTCTATGGACCGAGAAGCTGTGGACTGACTGGGTCTTCTGAAGCACTGTCCTCCTCTGATTTTGGCCACTTGTCCTTCAGCAAACCTCTGACCCGATGCTCACACTAACAGTCTCTGGCTAGACCAGAAATGATTAAAAAAACAAAAACAATAAAATAATGGCAATAAACCAGAAATGAGGTGATGGAGACCCATAGGGAGATGGTGATCATGGAAAGAACAAGGTCAATAGATATTCTGAATGCTCCCTAAGCAAGCTAATTCGCTTTGCCTTAAGATTGCCAGGTACTTCCTCATTATAAGAATCTCATATAGTTTCTGTAATTTCTCCCTAGCTGTGTCCCAGTTTCTATGGACCGAGAAGCTGTGGACTGACTGGGTCTTCTGAAGCACTGTCCTCCTCTGATTTTGGCCACTTGTCCTTCAGCAAACCTCTGACCCGATGCTCACACTAACAGTCTCTGGCTAGACCAGAAATGATTAAAAAAACAAAAACAATAAAATAATGGCAATAAACCAGAAATGAGGTGATGGAGACCCATAGGGAGATGGTGATCATGGAAAGAACAAGGTCAATAGATATTCTGAAGGAAGTAAAAGCCCTTAGATAAAAGGGTGAAGGAGAGGAAGGAATCAAAGATGATTTTAAGGTAACTGGGTGGATGAAGTTAAGAAAGCTAAGAGATAAAATCAGAAAATTGGTATTGAACGACAGGTTAGAAAAGGACCCCACATACAATGGACTAATGGACTATAACTAGCCTGACGCTGAACCAGACCCAGCTCCATCATGGAATGTACACTGGCTTTGTTTTTAGCTCTACTGAAACCTCAGCTATCCTTCTTCTATGACTAGACTAAGGGAAATTAAACTTGGGAAACTCAGGGATGTAAATCCATGGAACTAAAGCTTTCTGCCATATCTCATCCTCCCTTGAGGGCCTCCAGAAATGCTTATTTCAGTGGACCCCAAGACACCCATTTCCACCGATAACATCAATAAATGGCCTCTTCTCTCTCTGTCCTCATGTTCCTCTAGTCTTCCCCTCATGCCATTGTCAGTGACCTTCATCAAAAACAAAGAGCTGATTTCTCTAATTAATATCAGGAATGAAGAAAATCAAAAGAAACAATATTCTAGTTATAAAATAAATAATCTATGGAGACATAATACACAGCATTATGTATAGTTAATAATATTATACTGCATATTTGAAAGTTGCTAAGAGAGTAAGCGTTTAAAGTTCCCGTGACAAGAAAAAAAATTGTAACTATGTCTGGTGACGGATGTTGTTACAATTACTGTGGTGTTCCATTTGCAATATATTCAAATATAGAATGATTATGCTGTACAACTGCAACTAATATAATGTTATATGTCAACTATATCTCAAAAAATAAAATATAAATTAAACCACAGATTACTTTCCATTGGTTTCAAGATAATATTTACAACTTTCTAGCTTCATCTCCCACTCTCTTCCTATGCCTCAAGCATTCATTATCCATGAAGTCAGAAACCCTCCTGTGTAATTTTTTCAGGCCCAGTGTGTAGAATAGCATTCAGTTTATCACAGGCCCTCAAATGTTGCTTATTAAGAGAATGTTCAACCAACTCATTTGATCTTAGGCCAAGAAGAGATAGAATGTTCAACCAACTCAAAGGTTTCCTATTTTGTCATTCTCTTCACATAGCCCTAAGGACAGCATGCTAGGCAAATAATAATTGAATAAACATTTCCTACATTTATTGTTCTAGCAGCGCTTCAGACTTCTTTATGGACACATTACAGTTAAGGAAAAAAAAGAAATAATCTTTTAAATGACAGTATGATGACATTAGCCATTTCAAGACTGAAAAAATACAACTCTACTTCATTTTAAAGCCAAAAGTGTATCTAGTTTCTTAAGCAGATAGCTAAGCTTTTCTATTGGTAAATTCTATGGAGTCCTTCTTAAACCAAGTATTTCTGTAAAACCTCACAATGCTCAAGAAAATAGTCTTGCCTTGCATAAGTGCTAAGAAATTACTTAATTGGGGATAGTCCAAATTTGTGTTATCTGTTACTAGGGTTCTCTTTTGATCAATGAAATTCACATTGTTGCATAAACAAATAGATCTGGAAGTTTTGACTAAAGAAATATTTTTTCATTTTGTTTATCTTGTCACTCCTTAAGTGATATAGAGATAGAGAGGCCCTAGGAAGTCTCTACCCAGGCCTCCTCTACTAAAACCAAATATTTATGGTGGGAATGAGAAATGCTGTCTGCCTGCTTCAATAGCAATGTTATGTTATTCTGCCATGCAGTGGAACAAAATTCTATGTTAATTTGAAAACTCATGATAAAACCAGACTTGTTGTAAGGCAGTAGAAAAAAAAAAAAATCCTTGCATTGTTCCTTGAATTAAATAAATACATTTAGGTTTTGTTTTGGGTTGGGTTTTTTTTTGAAGAATTTGTTTGTTTTATTGAAAACTTGGAATACTATATGACTCCTAAATGACAAAGTAATCAAACTAATGTCAGTATCAATATGCCTAAAATTTTGGAGGGAGATGTCTTAACCAAAACATAAATTATCTTTAAACAAAAGAAGTTAGTAATATAATCTAACCCCTTTGCATTATGCTCATAGTCATTAAAAGACAGACTGGAGTCTGGCCAGTATGGCTCAGTGGTTGAGCATCGACCCATGCACCAAGAGTTCGCTGGTCCCATTCCCGGACAGGACACATGCCCAAGTTGTGGGCCTGATCCCCAGTGGGGGGCATATAGGAGGTGGCTAATTGATGTTCTCTCTCATCGATGTTTCTATCTCTCTCTCCCTCTTCCTTCCTCTCTCTCAAAATCAATAAAGAAAAAATATTAAAAATAAATAAATAACAACAACAAAAAAAGACAGACTGGAGGAGAAAGATTGCTAATTTGTAACTCAGCTCTGCAATTGACAAGTTTTAAGACCTTGAACCAAATTACTCAACTTCTCTCTACCTCCATTTTTAAAAGTGTGTAATAATTTTATATACCTCATAGATCACTTATGGATATTAAATAATCAATTAGAGCATAGAAATGTCAAGGACAATCACACACACTCAATAAATGTCAGCTGTGATTATTATATACACAACATGTGTAAATTAGTGAGAAAATTATTTCAAACGTACCTTATAATGTTGAGCTAAATCACTTATCCCAAAACACATCTGAATGAATAATAATGAGTTTCTTATCTTCTCCAAATCAAAGCAAAACAATCAAAAGTGAGAAAATCACTAACCATTGAGCCAGTAGTGCTCTGAAATGTCAGTTCTGATGTAATGGTGGTCTTGAGTAGGCCCAAGGGACCGTGTGAATGCAGTGTCTTTGCCAAGGAAATCAGAAGCTGTTCCAGAGTAGAGGTACTCATCTGGGTGGGAGAAAAGAATACATAGGGCTTCTAAGAGTTTACCAGCAGTACTGTTTACAGTATACTAATTTAACAGCATGAAACCAAAGATGTTTATTGCTTAACATCAGAATATATTGATGTTATAATTCATAAACTTCAGATTTTGAAAAATTTGCTTAAAGAAAAGATAACTCAATGAGCTATAGTAAGCTGATGCTTGATACTTGAATATGAAGAACGTCAAAGTCTTCTGAATTAAGAACTGCACATGTATTGGATTCTCTTATGAATAAGCTCTTTTTCTTTTCCTTCTCTTCACAAATAATTCAAGGATATATCATAATTAGGAGTTCCTTGTTGCAGCAACACAAAGAAATATTAAAAAGAAAATGCTATGATGAGGAATGGATTGTTGTAATTAGTATTTACTTAACCAACACAACCTCAATGACCACAACTTTTCTTTGCCTAATCTCTGCTGAAAGGGAGCTTTCAGCACTGAAGTCATTCTTTGTAATTATAACATTTTGCATTCCTTGTAGCTAGTCATGTCTCTAATAGTTCTGATAAACAGGAATTCCTGAAAGGGGAACGACAGGAACGATGTTGCTCTTACTGCATACCAAGCTTCTTTTTCCTGTTATTTATGTAAAGTGCATATCCATGGTTTTGAGAGAGAGAGAGAGAAAGGAGGAGGAGGAGAAGGAGGAGGAGGAGGAGGAGGAGGAGGAGGAGGAGGAAGGAAGGAAGGAAGGAAGGAAGGAAGGAAGGAAGGAAGGAAGGAAGGAAGGAGGGAAAGAAATGAGGCTAGAAAGGAAGAAAGAAGCTGAGAGGAGAAAGCTGGGTGAGAAGATAGAGATGAGGGAAAGGAGACAGGAAGGAGAGAAGACATGACAGGAAGGAGAGAAGGGAGAGAAGAAAGGGGAAGGAGAGGTAGAGAAAACTATTGGGGTAGAAATAAGGGGGGCAGGGGGAGTTCCCCAATGCTTGTTAGAGCATTGTTGGGGTGGAGGAAGGTGGCATGAAAAGAATGCTATCCCTGTAGTAGAATATGTTGCACTTTTGAGAGCTAAGCTGCTATTTCAAGAAATCTTCATAGTCAACTACTTTGGGTTACCCTTAATAGACCAAAATAGAAAATGGCTAATCTATAGAACATTTAGATTTTTTTTAAATGCCTAAATAAAAGAACTAAAGACATTGTTTTACCACTGAAATATAATTTTCTTCAGAAATGTATCTTTGCTTTGGGTTTTTGGAGGGCTTAAGTGTAAGTGATTCAGATACTTCCTAAATCCTCTGATTACATCCATCTACATAAATTTTTACTGAACGACCTAAGACAACCAACCTAAACAATGACGACAGTCAACTTCAAAGGAAACAAAACAGCACAAGAGAGAAATTCATTTATGTAAAATAAACATTCCCTTAAAATATATAAATGGTAACATTTCATTGTGGGGCAAATTTTTAAAATTACAAGTATAGAAAAAACCATCAACAAAAACATTATAAAAAAAGTTTAATAAGAGTAAATGAAACACATGATTAGTTTGAAACAAAATTGCAAATATTTGAACATTTTGTCAGAAGAAAATTGTGTTTCAACTACAAAACTGAGTCTGTAGATTCAAGCTTTTAAACTGTCTTCTTTGTATTTAAATTACTTAGGGATTCCTAAGAGGGGTCACCAATGCCTACCATCTATTGTTTTTTATTAAGGGAGTGTTAACCCTCTTGACAGATTAGAATCACAAATCATCTATCTCATTTTTTTTTTTTGGATAATGACTAAACATTAGTCATGATTTTCAAAACACACACTTTCACTTCAAAGGAAGATCACTAGTTCTCACTAAGTGAAAATTAAAATGTTATGGTGCTTCAGTCTCATAGACTATTCAAGCATTTGATAGACAAGTTAAATATAAAGAGACTAAAGTCACAAGCCAAACCGAGACAAAAGGAGTTCTTATAATGATTGAAATTCATTTGTGCTGACATTCCAGAGAACAGACTTCAGACCACACAGTACTGCCTTCATTAAATAGAAGAGTCATCTCATAAGAAAATTTAAGATATATACAAAGCAAGAGAAGACTGAATGTGCTAGTAAAAAGTTCACATTTTTACTATTATAATCAGGTTATGGTGAAATCGGAAGAAAGGGTGTTACTACATTCTGTCATCTGTACTCTATAATTTGTTTGTTTAATTTACCCACTTATGTCTTATCATTAACTTTTCCACTTAAATCTTAAACAAATTTTGCAACATGTTATGGTTAAGAAACTATTAAATTTGTAGGGACATGGCTTAATATAAGGAAATCTGAGACAGTTAAATGTAAAATTTTAGAATGAGTGTGTGTCAATTGCATTAAAAAGAATAAGGTAATACATATTGACTATATTCCTTATGCTGTTGTATACCAGTAATGGATTTTGTGCACATCCTTTTGGGTTGTCTTGATAAATTGATAAACAAGTAGTGTTTTCAGCCCATATACTGTGTGCATCAGGGTGGTTACCACAAACATCGCTTGGCAACAAATGTTCTTGTTTTTCTGCTTCTTGCCCTATATACGTGGACTCTAGAGGGGGAGTGAGGATGGGGAGTGAGGATGAGGAGGGACAAGAGACACCAGAAATGGAGACAAGACAGGGCTCTGATTAAGCCTGTTTATTCGGGGAGATCCACACTATATATAGGTCAAGAAGCAGAAAAACAAGAACATTTGTTGCCAAGCGATGTTTGTGGTAACCACCCTGATGCAATTTCAAGTAAATATCATGTAAATATCACAGGTGGAACAAAAGATAAACAGAGCATAACTGGCTGAGTAAATGGTTACTTAAAGGAATGCAGAAACATTGTATACAGAGGTATCCGGCCTTGGGGCAGGAGATGGCAAAGCAGATTTTAGCAAAATGGATGCCATGCAGTCTCCCACAATACTGGCTATATATTTTCTCTGCATTACACATGCTATTATATAACTCATTTTTAATTTCTTCAACTAATTTGTTGAAACACTTTCAATGATTTTGAATTGCTAGGCGAGGGAATTAAAAATTTGTATTTTGAGTCAAATTTTGCTTCCTCTCTATTTGTAGATGCTCTCATCAATCTGTCTCCCAGTGTTCATTCATGAGACTTCAAACTGGACAACAGTGTTCAAACCTGAAAGACTTAACATGTCAGTGTTTTTATTCTTTGACACTGTGAAATTACAGAGAAATTATCCTTCTGCTCCTGTTCAGCTCAATCATGTATTCTTAATCTTCAGTCATCATTTGTATTATTTCATTTTCTTTTATCCAGTTCCCTTGGATTATAGTGCCTCTGTTACTGGTTTCTAAGAGATTGTTTATGACTAAAGATGTTAACCACTTCTCATATTTTTTTGTTATTATTTTACTGTGCTGTTTTATTTTTTGGTTGCACCAAAATTGTGTATTAAATATAATCATGTTCTGTTTAAAAAACAAAAGGGAGAAATCAACCTGAAGTTCATGTTCAACATAACTGTGCAACATTAAGGATGGCTGAGACCTCACTTTAATGATAAGGATGCTAAGTAGAGAGGCATTTGGCACTAAAACACTATAACCCAACAGCCAGTGAGAGATTCCAAAATAATCTTTAACTCAATATGAAAACATAGTTTAATCTACACATACTTTTTTTAGAAAAGCACCTAAAGCAAGAACTGCTTATCATTGATCTTACCTGTCATTACAGAAGCAAAAGGCTGTTGAGGATCAAAAGGACATTTAAGTCTGCCAGACTCCAAATTGTGTGTGTCTAGTTTGAACATAACTTCCTGTTATGAGAAATATTAACACAAGTGAGATTTCTTAAAAATATCAAAATCAGCATGAACATAAGAGATAAGAGCTACATTCTAACTCATTAATTCAACAAAAACTAATTGAGCATATAGCATGTAATCATGCTGTGCTCCTTAACTCTTTAGCAAATATTACTTCTGGCAAGACTGAATCCCCATGTTTTGGTCTCCATTTGCCCAAAGTAATAATAATAATACTGAGTGGATTTTTCTATCAGAGGTACTAATATACTTATAAATTCATTTAGTTTCTACAACTATCATTATCAATATCACCATCAAACACATATTTATTAAGCCTAATAACTAATTTATTGAGCCTATCAAGCCAATTTACTCATCTAAGAAAGAAATTTACTATAATAATTATACTTTAATAGCTATTATGGTCTATTTACCTAAGCATCTGCAACTATTCCAAATCATGTAAACCTTGTTGTATTTTGTAATTTTAGTGACATGAAATGTTCTAAGGTAGGCAGTTAATTTTCATAGCTGTTGATACATGCGGGCAAAAAATATCCTGTTAGAGTATTTTCACTATTATGAAAACACTGTACACGTTAAAAGCCACATAGTTATTTTGGCTGAAACATTTATTTGTACAGTAGTGGCCACAGACAAAATGACATTGGCATACTTTAAAATTCAGGAAAAAATAACATCTTAAGTTAAACTTTCCAAGAAAAATATGAATGTATAATGAATATGGTCCCAGGAACTTGGGTGTTTCATAACAATGACAACACTACCATCCAGCAAAAAGACTGATGATTCACTCTGCTTGTACACTGGAGAAATTTAGCATTTCAGACATTCTTTCTAGAGGGTGTATCTACGACGTTCTATCAGAGCACACATACATGTCATAAGAAAGGACCATTCCATGCTATTTATCTAGAAAGCAAGCAATGAAACAAAGGGATAGAGGAATTGGATCATTTATTATATTATGTGTCATGTCAGATCTTTTTCTTAAGGCCCAATGAGAGTCACTGCCTTTAAAAAAACATAGTAATAGCAATTTAAACGGCATAATTAACAACTGTTATTTCATAGTTTGAAGTAAATGCACTTTAATACTAATAGTAAGGTACCTAACAGTTAATAGGTACTAACCATGGGCCAGAAACTTTCTGTACCTTATCTCATTAAATCTTCACCATAAGCCTAATAATTAAGTTACTTTTAAGAATTCCAACTTTACAAGAGAAATAATGAGGATAGAGGGGTTAAGTACCTCATTCAGGATCACATAGCTAGTAAAAGGCAAAGCAGTAGTCTGGACTTAGGGCTGTCTCCAAAGTTTATACTTTTAAGTAATCTAGTCGCAGAATTCAAACTCATGAACTTAGAATGTATTGCAGTCAACTTATTGTAGCCTCACGGTGGCCATGCAATATGATCAAGCCCAAGTATATTTAATTAGAAAGGTCAGCTAATGACCAGTTATGAAAGTGGAGACTAGACATGACAAAAAGTCCAGTGTGAGCACATTTAGGGCATACTTTCCAAATGTAGATGGGGTTCAAGATGTCAGAAAAAAACACTTGTAGATAGTGGCTCTTAAGTATGTTTAAATATCATTAAGGGGACATTATTCTCCATGGATCAAACAGAACTGTTGACTTTAAGCCTATAATGAGATATGGTAAAGGGAAAAAGTAAGCTGAATCCTGGTATAATAGAAGATTACAGTGCAAAGCTAAACAAGAAAATATCTAAGAGAATGTCACAGTTGATGCAAAGTACTAAATACTCCCAATAATTGTACAGACTTCTTTTTTCAAAATGCAACATTTCATTAAATTTTCAAGATAAGCCCGTAAAATGGGTATTTGTGGAGGCTGAGGACAAGGTCTCCCTCAAAAACTCCTAGAGAAAGGGGACAGTAGGAAAGCCAGTTTCCCTGATCCAGAGTTAAGGACACCAACAGGAAAATGACATAAAAAAGAATGGCTGATTAAATGAACTTCCTCAGATGAACTGACTTACATGGCACTCTAACTTTTGAGACAACTTCAACTTTATAAGATTTTTTTCCCATTTAATTCCTTCATTCTAATTAATTATGAAAACTACATCTCTCTCAGCTGCACACAGAGCTATTGTTGAAATAAAGCAAGGATGATAGAAAACATTTAATCATCACAATCAGGCAAAGTTATTATTAATATGATTCCCATTTAAAGATGAGATTTTCAGCAGCAGAGGGGAGAAAGAACATACTTCCAATTTAATTATTTAACAGCTATCAGGCACTCTGAGTTTTACAGAGTACATGGATACATGGATACAGACGTGGACACGGACATGGACATGGATGTGGAGAGCAGACGTTAATTGTATATGACATTTATATAGTATTTTTTAAATCCTTGCCTCTTTACCTTCCTGTGTTCTTTTGCCTACTTTGGCTGAGTATGAGGTGACTGGAATGAAGCAAGTGCTATGCCAAAGCCTATACTATAATTTTCTCATTTCATCCTCGGAATTACTCTTTGAGGTAGTTAGTATTACTATCATCATTTTCCTGAATAAACAGAAGCTTGGAAAGCTTAGGCAGTGTGCATGCAGAAGACCATGGGGCTGGTAAATGACTGGGGCCGTCATTCAAACTCTGGCTCCCCAAGCTCCAATGATTAGTCGTTGACAACAGCTCTGACTTCTGTCCTGAAATCCAGCTCCAACTTCCCACTGGCATGACCTACTGAACATTTCTCAAATGCAGAATGTACAAAACTAACTCACCATTCTGCCCACAAACCTGTTACTATTCTCACCTCAATAAATAACATCACTCTCCAACTCACTGCCAAAGACAGAAATATGAGATTCATTTTAGTTTTTTTATCCTCCTTCCCATTGCCCCAGCAGCACTGAACAGGAGGCCCTAGAATGGGGATTTCCCATACTTCTCTCCTGCATTCCCTTTATATATCAGTTCCCTCTTTCAGTGACCTCCAGAGCAACCTTATCTATTTTGAAAATGGAAGAGCCTTCTAAGTTCCCTCTGGAAGAACAATGAATTCATTTACAAAGTTACCAATCTTCAAGCAGGGCTGAACACAATTACCTGTACTCCTGACCAGCAGAAAACTCACAAGGCTCTCAATACCCTGTTCACTCTTACTTCTCTGATTCTCACAGAACTTATAAATTTCACTGCCCCTGGGCTTCTTGACAGTCCCCAGCTAAGTAATTAGCTCCATCTAAATTCCTTCTCAGCACTTTTAGGAACTAAACACTCTTTGCATCCCTTAGCAGGTTGTGAGTTTGGCCTTTAGCCTCAGGCCTCAAAACACTTCCAAACTGCTGGGCTATCTCATATAATTACGCCCTGTGCTATGCTCTACTATTATACATTATCTTTCATCAAAGCTAGGCAAGAGAACGTTACACAAGCAACAGAGAATGATGGATTTGAGGTAGCTCTCAGTTACTTTATTTTCAAACAGTTGAGTCTGGGCTGGTTAGAGAAGTTGGTTAGAGAGAAAAATTTATCCAGCCACAGTTGTGGGTTAGATTTCTGCATGAATCAGTTAAATCAATGTAAAGAAACCTCTGTTCCATAGACTGAGACTTTATGTTCGAGCATGCAGCCAGTTGTCCCCCATATTTGTGTGGTTATTCACAAGAAGAATATACATAAACATAAGGAGGACAGTGCAACCCATCAACCCAGACACTTGAGCACTCATCCAGAGCTCAGTTGTGTACCTGTGCTAGAGACAGGCTGCTTTGGTTCAGCTCGCTGCTAGACCATTTATTAGTTGGGTGATCTTGGACATGCTATTTCATTTCATTGAGACTCATTTTTTAGTAACTTGTAAATTGGGAATCATAAAGATAATAACTTCATTAAGAGTGTTGTGAAATTCCAAAGAAACAATCCATGTAAAGTGGGTGGTACAGTCCATGACGTACAAAAAAGCACTCTAATATATTATTCATTAAATTTCTGAAATCTACATGTTTTGCATTTATTCAAATGCTCGTAGATAGCAGCAATATCTTAATCCTAGTGAATACATACTTTATTTCCACTATGTCAATTTGGTCCAGCAGAAATAATGGGTTCAGGTGCTAATATGACTATCCTACAGTTATTAGAAATTCATTAAGTTTTCTGTACTTAGTGTTCACTATTGTAAACACAACAGGTCAAATTTGTTAACCGGGAAAAATAAAATTTCTTATAAGATACAATTCCATTGTAAGATCTTTTGGGAAATGGATTTTTTACCAACAGCAACATACACTACAGATCTAGTTGTAAAGGAACCTAAAGAGAAAATGAAGACATACATAGAGCCCATAGAAAATAAGCACTTTCAACAATTTGCACCTAATTTTAATCATCTCACTGAAAAACTTTTATAGAAAAAAATGTTATTAGTTAGATAAAGTGTATAATCAAAATGGCAACACATAAAGCATTTGGGAACATGTGTTCTTACACAGTACATAAACTTTATACTAAATGACTCCATCTTTAGTAATAAGGTATGAACAATAAATTGTTTTCAAGCAATTTTATTATATTACCTCCTTGTAGACTCCAAGGTCAATATATCCACATATTGGGTGAAATGCTCCAGTTCCACACACATAAATGTGAGTTCTGTTATAGGGTTGAAGTACTCGAATGAAATTTGCACATTCTGTCTATTGGGCATAAATAAAAAAGCATTAGCACACAATCCAAGTTTTTAAAATATTATCATTCATGCCACCTGTTTTTCAAGTAGCTAAATCATCAAAAATATGGGAAAAAATAAAAAAGAAATAAACATTTATTAATAAATAAATAAACATTTATAGATAAATGTTAGTAAATAAATATTTATGAGAAATGTTTAAACACCTGACTTAGCAAAGGAGATAAATTAAAAACTGGCTTAAATGAGTGACTTTGAAACTTTCTGAAGTTTTAAAGGTTTTGAACTAAACAGAGTGCTAGAATGCACACCTCTATAGTGGTACTCGACTGCGTCCAGAGAATGTGTCTACACAGACTATTAATGAGGTATCGATACTTTTAAGAATTACCTAAGGCACAAAACCCATCATATTCTGATGTTCACACATTGTCTATCACACATAGATTCTACTGTTATTCCATTGTTATTGGCTGGAATGCCCTACCATTTTGTGTCCATTTATTTTCAATATTATAGAGCCTTTAAGACTCAGAGTAATTCCTGCTTAAACCAAGAATCTCTTCTGTTTTTCCATGAATATTTTTTATACAAAGTCCAATTTTTGAAGAGATTTTTACATTTCGAATTGTTTTGCATATGCTTAAACCTAGAAATATTTCTTTATGTCCTCATTATCCTTATAACAATTATTTTCCATCCCCGTTACTTGTAGTCACTTAATTTTTTATAGTCATTTTTTGCTATTATGTATTACTTTTAATTTAACTCCCATATGTGACTTCTTATCATTACAAGATTATTGAAACAATTTCTTTACCATGGATTCATGATTCCTAGACCCAAAGAGCCCTGAGTAAACACTGGGCTGTAGCATACTTTTATTCTAGATGGAATCTACTCATGAAATGGGCAAGTATACAGTAAGAAAGTTAGAGACCTACAAAACCACTGAGAGTCATAAAAATAAAGTCCAGTTTCTCCCTGTCTGAATTGCCATGGGTTTTTTACCAGTCAGTCACTGACCTATGGTCACTGTTGTTATTGGAGTTATTAGAAGAAATTAAAAAACAACAACAAAAACAACAATGACCTAACTGAACTGGATGGATGGTTCTTAGAATTTAATAAATTTTTAAAAAGATAGGCAACAGCTTCATGAACAGGATTGTTACATGGTTTAAATGAAATAATATAACATTTAGCCCTGGTTTGGCTCAGCGGTTGGAGCGTCGGCCTGCGGACCAGATAGTCCTGGGTTCGGTTCCCACTAGGGTCGTGTACCAAAAAAAAAAAAAGGAAATAATATAACATTTAATAATTCCTTATTATTTGCCCTGTACTCCTTATCAATATCACAGTGGCTCTTCTGGTTTTAGAGAGAACAGCTGTATCTACATACTGTGACAGAGTTCCTAGTACCCATCCAACTACCCTGGCAAGTTTATGTCTCAAGAATTGTAGATCCCAGTTAATAAAATCTTCACATTTTACCACAGTGAAAGCACCGAGTCTTCTGCTCTCGGCTTCTTTATTAGCAACATAGTTGCTTAAGACTACATAAAAGGACAATATTAGTCCCTCAGCCACACTAGTATAGGACATTTCTTTATCAGGTAGGAAGATTCGGCCTCTCTAACAGGAGAAGGATAACTGAATGTGGTTGCTTAGAGAATATGTTGCAAAAATAAAAATAAAAAGTCATATCTAAGGATGTACAACTCACACTATGGACATCTTTATTGTCCTGAGTATTTTCATGTGTTTGGTATATGCTCTCATATATTTACTACATGCAGACTCCTAAAATAGGAACATTTTATATTCATTAAGACAATTTTCTGGCACATAGTCTTGCTTGACAAGATCCTATTGTGTCCGTTTTCACCTTCATGCCAAGGTGTGTGATGAAGGAAACTTATTTTCTATTTGTAGAAAGGCACTGTAGAAAACTAGCTCCGTGTTCTTTAACATTGTGTTAGGCAATCTCGAATAAAAACCTAATCCAGAGAGTAAATATGCCATACTAATGGTTTTGAACAAAGAATGGGGGCACAGTAATATGAGAAACACCATGGCAAAAAGTTAAAATATGTATGGATCACCAGCTAAATTGTAATGATTGCTTCATTGCTAGGGTAAGAGGTTTCAATATTCTCCTTATTTTGCTCACTCATGCACACTGAAGGCACTTTGATTTCTTGGTCTTTCCCTCTGTGAAGATATTTATGCAAGGGTGGGACCCACGGCAGGACTCGTACCCAGGGAGGTGACAGGAGGATTACATGGCTGGAGTAAGGTGACATTGACTCACTGCCAGTTATTTCATCATTTTTTAAAAAGCTCAGTTTTACCAAATAGTCCTATAATCAAAGGGTAATTATAATGGATTGAATATTTGTGTCCTCCCCAAATTCATAGGTTGAAATCCTCACTCCCTAGTGTGATGGTACTGGGAGACTGGGCCTTTGGGAGAGAATCAGTTTAAGAAGATGTCATGAGGGCAGGTTCCTCATGATGGGATTAAGACTGGGGACCTTGGCTCTCTCACTGTCTGCCATGTGAAGATACAACAGGAAGATGGCCATCTGCAAGCCAGGAAGAGAATTTTCACCGGGAACCAAATCAGCCGGGCTTGATCTTGGCCTTCTCAAACTCCAGAACTGTGAGAAATAAACATCTGTTGTTTAAGCCACCCACTTTACAATATTTTGTTAGAGTAGCCCAAGATGAATAAGACACAAGTTTTGCAAGATTTTTGAATTAAATATTTGTATAAAGAAATAAAACAAGCCTGGCTGGTGTGGCTCAATGGTTGAGTGTCGACCCACGCACCAAGAGGTTGCTAGTTCTATTCCCAGTCAGGACACATGCCCAGGTTGTGGGCCCGATCCCCAGTGAGGGGCATGCAGGAGGCAGCCAGCTGATGTTCTCTCTCATCATTGTTTCTATCTCTCTCTCCCTTCCTCTCTCTCTAAAATCAATAGAGAAAAAAAATATGTAAAAAAAGAAATAAAACAATTACCTTTCTAGATCATAAATTATGGAGTCAGAAAGATTAAGGACTCTGAGAGATACAGCACTATTTAAAAGGGCAAATAAAGCCCATAGTGAAGTTTTAGACACATAAAAGATATAATTTTAGCCCTGGCTGGTGTGGCTCAGTGGGCTGGGAATCGTATTGTGCATCAGGAGGTTGCTGGTTAGACTCCTGTGGTCAAGGGCACATGCCCAGGGGAAGGGCGCATGCAGTGGGCAGCCTATTGATGTGGTGCTCTCACGTTGATGTTTCTCCCTTTAAATTTCAATAACTATTCTTTTAAAGAAAGAGAGATAATTTAAGGATAATAAAGAAAAAATCTCTGAATCACACCAAAAACATTTCACATCCTTTAACTTTTTAGGGGTACTTTAGTCAAATGTAGCCAGTCTGGGAAAGGAACCTATTGTGCTAGTTTCTGATTTGGTAAGATATTACCAAGAATTTATTTATGAAATCCCTCCCTTCTCTCAGCTTGGGCTGAAGTGGATTAGAACAACACATAGATCATTTCTGAATTATGGGACAGAGTTTACAAAAAAGTTAGCTCTGCTCAGTTTCTGTACTGAGGCTGACAGAGGATGGAGCGGCCTGGAGGCAGTGAACAGGCACCGGCTGCCTGAAGGAAAGAAACCCGGGAACCGGAGATCCTGAAAGATTAGGTCTCTTAATTCAAAACTGCCAAACCAGTGATGTGAGGCAAAACTTTACAATGATTTCCTCTTTAATTTGTAACTTATTTTTTTTTATCTCAAAGATTGTGTTGTTGTTGTTTTTTTTTATGCACAAAGTTTCCAAGTTTTATTTAAATAGCACAAGCAATAATTAACTTGATTTAATTCACTTAGTGACCCGCTTGGCTATTACTGGTAGCATAATTCTGTGAGGCATGAAGAAAGCAACTTTGAGAAGCAGCTTTTCCAACTTTCCCTGCGAGCTGGTAACTTGTCGGCTACTGGCAACAATGGCAAGGGTTGCTGCAGATGACCAAACAATTCCAACTCATCTGTGGAAGAGTATTACATTTCTCCTTCCTTCCCCATTCCTCTTACTCACTCTCCTTCCCACCTACCCCTCCCCCCTTTTGGAAGCGAGAGATGAAGAAAAAAAATAAAACAAATTATCAGCTTTTTAAAATTCTCTCAAGTAATGTCTGTTCCAATATTTTACCTCTTATGTACATCCATACATGTGTATATAACTAACTATATAAAACTGAGTTAGTAGCTGGAGAAAAGACAAATATGTTTTAGTCTATTAACACTTGGCATTTTAGTCTCTGCCTAGATAGCTGGAAAAATATTAACAAAACAGAAGTACGTGTAATTCTCTAGATTGTGATATAGTCCAATTAAATCCAATACAACTTTATATATGTTTCTGGTAAGTGGCTTATAAACTGTTTATTTTATTTTATTTAGGTGATATAGAGAAATGCATCATGATTTAGGAATCTGGTCAGTTTCTATTTTTAGTGTAATTTTCAGAATGTTGTGATCACCAAACATTTTGATCCTCGCTTGCCTGTTATTGTGCTACACGTCAGGTTTGTCTGGCAGACCTCAGGGAGAATCCAGTCTGTAGAGATACTTGTTTAGGTCTTATAGGTTTTAAAATATTTTAACACTTCAAAGTAAAAATACAGAAAAATGCAAATATCATATTTCTCTCAAAAACAGAAGATCTAACAGTGGAGAGCTCTATTGAGTTAAATCCAATTGTGGTAGAAAGGCAAAAGTAAACAGTCGAAAGGAAAACTTTAAGATATGCTTACTTAAATATTTTAAATTTTATAGCATATAGGTCAACTTGGATTTTACGTGAATGGATCACAAAGTTATAATATACTTTATATTATATAGTTACGTATATCTGCAAATCTTGAAAATCTGTAAATAATCAGTAAGGAATAGTAACACACTAAAATTTACAAATTGCAGAGATATGCCATTCCAAAAAATAAAATTGTAATTTTACAACTACGTAAAATATTTAGTTTTAATAGTAATGAAAAAAATTTCAAGCTGAAACAACAAAAATAACATTATTGTTGTTGGCAAGCATTTAATATATTTGTATTCACTTATGTTTTAATATTAAATATTAACTACATGTTGTATGCAATATTAGCAAGGGTATGAGAAATACACCTCTCATGAGCCTCACTGCTGGTTAAAGCATAAGAGGCAGAATCTTTCTGGAGGGCTACTTTGCAATGCGTATAAAAATTTTTATATCCTTGACCAGTAATTCTACTCAATAGTCAAAGATGTTCACAGATTTTTATATGAGGTTTTTCATGTGCAGCATCATTTACAATAATTAAAGTTGGATTTATACCAAACTTCTAACAATAGGGGATTGATGAAATAGTATATAGAGGAATGCAGTATAGCTATTAAAAGTAATGTTACAAAAAGGAATTTAATGACATGGGAAAATGCTTATGGCAGTCTGTAAAGTGAAAAAAAAATGTTTTAAGGGATTATGTATACAATGATTTCATTCTGAAAAATAGTAAATAGATAAGATAGAAGAATAAACATCAAAATGTCACCAGCTATCTCTGGGTAATGTTCATGGGGGAGGAAATATTTACAGATGATTTCTATATAATTTGCAAACTTCCTACAATGAACACTTTGTTTTACTTTCAGATGTTCTAAAAAAAAAAAAGAAAAGAAAGAAAGAAAAGAACATGTAATCATAGAACTTCAGAGAAGCAAGATCTTTTAAGTCTATGTAATGTCTCTATTGACAGGTTGTGTGCCTCCGCGGTCAAGCTGACAGAGGCCAGGCTGCCTACACCCTGTGCATTCTTTTGCCTGGAGTGACCTGTTTACCCTCCTCTTCATAGTCAGGACTAAAGACATTTCTTCAGTGAATCTATTTTGAAAAATATTCTAAGCAGAAACAAAGTACTACCAACTCGCTTCTTGTCATCTCTTTCTTTCCTGGAATTAATCTGGGGCCTATGTTCGAGAAAGTGGAATAGTTCTCTTTTTTCCCTCATCTTCCCCACCCCAATTAGCTAACTTTCATTATGGTAAATAATTCACTATTTTTCAGTTATATAGTACCTTTGTGTAAAGGGACAGTCTTTCCAAACACTTGTTAATCCTAAACATACTCTTGGGAAGTAGGTAAAAATTACTAGAGAGAAGGGAAAAGAGAGGGCAACGCCAAAAGTTGTAAAAGATGTCAGTAAAACCCCACACTTGTCTCAGTTTTCTGTTGGCAGAAATCTATGCCATGCTGAATAACAAGAACTTATGTTATGGTGACACAAAAGAGACAAATGATTTGAGGGATTATACAGATTTCAGACCTTATATGTAGAGTGCAGACCTTTATGTGTGTGGGTTACAGTGCTGTGTAAGAGCACAGATTGGGGGGGGGGGGGGGGGCGAGACTTCTGGATTCAGTTCCTGGCTTCACTAGTTACTAGATAATGTGATACGGGGCAAGTCACTTAATTTTTCTGGTCTCAGTCTTCTCATCTGGAAAATGAGAAATAATAATAAAATCTAGAATACTACTAGCAGAGTCATAAGGCTTAAACAAGATTATAAATATAAAGCATTAAAAACACTTCCCAGAACATGGTAATTGCTATAAAAGCATTAGCTATTTTTAGTAACTCTAAAAAATATGATATTGTGTTAAAGGGACAAATTAAAAAGAAGACAAAGATTTGTGTTATCCCTACATGAATCAATATTATACTTTACAGACTTCAGTAAAGAGAGGAAAGATCCCCAAATCTCTAGTGCTGGGTTAGCAGGCTGTAAAGGTTAAAGGCTAGTAGTAGTTTCCCAATACAACTGAGTTGGGAGAGTGGTTTTCATATGCTGAGCCTAGTGCTCCAGGATGTCAACTCCAGAAAAGTTGATCTCCCTTTGCTTTAACCTAATAACAGGGGCAACTGAGTTATTCTATAACTAGAATTGGTGAACATACTGAAATGGGAACACTGTGACAATTAAAACTTTCACTGACTGTTTGACCTTGAGTGTTTATCCCTCATCCGCTCCATGGAAACCTGACATTAGTCTATTGAAGGAAATTTAAAACACCCTTTCCTACTTGCCTCCTTATCATACACTCAATACTGGTGAAACACAAACTGTTAAGCATCTTTTTCCCCACATGTTCAAAAAAGTACTGATGTGTTTGCAGACCTGAGCACTTGGTGCCAGTTGGGATATGGAACAGGGTGAAGAGATTAGAGACATGGGAGAAAGAAAAATACATTCTAGAACAGTGTAATCTCTTTCATTCCTAGTCAGATAAACCTAAAAACTGTTTCCTGCTGCACCTGATGCTAACACTCCCTGATATATTTCTGCGAACATAAATGTGTCTGAGAAGGTCACATTTAATCCCAATTGAGTACAAAGTCAGGCACGATCAACACATTGTTTCATTTTACTTTGTTTTGCAGCATTGTGACTATGTGTAAAGGCATCATTGGAATAGATTTGTATGCCTCATTGGATTGAAAGCTCCGTGACAGCAGATACTCTATCAGTTTCATACACATATTTAAGCACATATTTAGGCTCTTAATAAACATTAGTTGAATAAATGACTGAACAAATGAGTGAACAAATTTGTTGTCTCAGATTCTCAGTCTTCTAACCCTCCCCTTAATTCATTCGACATCATGTGTCATGTTACTTTTATCAAAGTCATAAAGTGAGAATTTTTCAATCTAATTATACTTTCATATAACACACACTATTTGTTGCTGTAAAATATGAAGGCATTGCTCTGCTTAATATTCCTCGGTTATTGAAGCAACATTAGAGGACGTTGCAAAAGAAGCCCCGATGTCCATGTTTCTTCCCAAAGTTAGAACCTCTTATCATCTTGAATTATATTCAGGAAGTGATTTATTTGCCAAAAAAAAAAAAAAGACCCGTTCTCCCTATCACCATAGTGCAAGAAGTCAGGGCAGAACACAGAGCATCCGGCCTGAGTCAGAGCACTCGGAGGAGAGGCAGCCAGAGCCCCAGCACCCTGCAGTCATCGCTGGAGATAAAACGGCAACACAGCTCTGGGGAGCATGCAGGGCAACTGGGACAATGCAAACAATCTAGACAGGTCACCCCAGACATGACTAGGTTAGTCACATCTGTGTAAGGCTTTTCTCTGGTCCTCGAGCAGCTTAAACTATAAGTTTGTGTTAAGACCCCGCTATTTATCCTTTATAAGTTATTTTATATCATTGTGCTTTAGTAAATTTCAGACAAAAATATTTCTAGTTTTTATTCCAGAATGGTGTGTCATTCATTTTCAACCAATCTTTCTTGATATCTTTATATGTCAAGTTTTGAAAGAATCTTTCTAGATTTTGTAAGTTTCATTATAACCCAAATTAAATTATCAATTATATGTTTGTAGTGCTAAAACTAGGACTTTGTGTATATTTACAAAATGCATGCATGTCAATGAAAAACACATAATCCTAGAAATACAATATTTTGGGATGGCTTATTTTTGAATATTATAATGTACCTGATTTTTTGTGTGAGAAAAATAATAATATTCAGAATTAACACTACAGACGCTAAGTAATTCTAAATATCTGAGAATAATGTCATTTCTTTTGGCAAGGTACAAATATTTTATACCATAATCTTTCACAGAATAAGTTAGTGTAGTCTTAAATATAATATGCTAATGCCATTAATTCAATAAAACCTAATACAAATATTTACTGTCATATCAGTACCAGTTTAATAAAGATATTTTTTAAAGTCTCATACTTACATTGGCATCTTTCCCAGCTAATTTACATAATTCCACCCGTTCCTTTGCAGCAGGCCAATAAATCTGTAAAACATTTCAAGGTTTGTTAGAATCAAATATCTAAGACACCCTACAGTTCTAATTAGAAAGTATGATAATTTAAAGTGATTATCAAGCCAAGAACATGTTGTTAGATATGACATAAGAATTTTGAGATTTAAATATTTTCCAAACTCACCCTAAAAAAATTCTAAGAAAAAACACTGTACAGAACCATCCACTTTTATATGTTAATTCCCTTATTTATTTTAAATGCATTTATTCATAGGTATGTCATGTTGATAAAGCCATAAGTTGTTGTTGTTTTTTTCCTCACCCGAGGACATTTTTTGATATTTTGTTCAGATAGAGTGGGAGGGAGAGAGAGAAACATCGACATGAAAGGGACACATCGAGTGGCTGCCATCTGCACGACCCAACCAGGGCTGGGGTCAAACTGCAACGGAGGTACATGCCCTTAGCGGGAATCGAACCCGGGTCTCTCCAGACTGCAAGCTGATGCTCTAACTGCTGAGCCAAACTGACCAGGACGCCATAAGTTCTTATTGGGATGTCATCAGAATTTCACATTAGCGTTTGCTTAAGTAAGAGATTCTGTTTTTCACCCTATTTTTCTGTGTGTACTCAGTGGTGCATTGAGGTGTGGGTAACCAACAGTTCTTTGTCACAAGCAGACGCCATCACTCACTTCTAGTCAAAGACCTGTCAGTGTGAATTTGTTGACAATACAGGGTGTGGCAAAAGTACATTTTCATTTGTTTGAAATAATACAATAATTAATAGCGAGCACTACAAGAATAATCTGTGTTTCATGTACTCACACCAGTGATCCTACGTTTGACCGCCCTATTTTAATGTGTGGGAGCTGAGATGCATCTGTCCCTTACTGAAGTATTTTTATAGGCCTCATCTTATTGAAGTCTCACAATGACCCTATGAGATAGCTGTACTTACTCTCTCCATTTTCAGGTCAGAAAACTTACTCATACAATCATGAAACAATACATCAAAGGCCACAAAGCTAGGTCAATGCAGAGCCAAAATATGACCCAAACTGTCTCCTGAACTTTCAGAGGGAAAAGGGCCTTGACCACTACAGAATAAATATTATTGGGGCAAATAATTAAGAACAAGGGCAGCAAACTCCTTGGTTGGTAGCTTTTAACAGTATTTTAACAGCCTTAAATTTATTAAAAGGTTTGTTTTTGTTTTTTGACAAACTTTAGAAATTCTGGCAGGAAGTTTCTGCAAAATAAGGTTCAAATAATTACGTTTCTTTATTAGCTTAAAGAAAGAAATGCCCTCTGTTAAGCTAGAGGCAAGAAGAAACAAGAAAAGCAAGCTCCGAATTGCTTACAATGTTCCAAGAGTTCCTGACAAACTTTTATTATGTTTCTCACTGCTGTTAACAGAAAATAAGTGAGGAAAAGGAAAATATCCTGAGGGAATACACCGAGAGAGACTTGTTAAACCTGGAATTAACAAATGATTTAGAAATCACTAATGTTTATATGATATTATCTTCAGTGAAATTTTAGGGTGTTATGTCTGAACAAAGAAGAGCAGAGACTAGCGCTCCAACTCTCTTAATAGCAATGAAACTACTGAGATTTTTAAATGAAGCAAGGTTGTTTATGTAGAGTATACTTTAACAACCTACAATCCAAAGGTGTACAAAGGCAGGCGAATGAGCCAACATGAGCTCAGATGAGGAGCTAAACTCTATATGGTTCACAATAAGGACCTAAAGAAACCATTTATTCAGGCATGGTTTAAATCACTGAAATTATACTTTCACAGAATTTTAAATAGAGGCCAGCAGCAAAACATGAATGAAAAGCAATAGGTTGGATCTTAGCAATTTATTTTTATGTTATTTTTATGTTTATATATATATATACACACACATACACACATACATATATCCTTTAGACTAAAGTTAAAAACAACTAAAATAAATTAGACACTTTTTAAGTGTATGTATATATAGACGCAATGAATATGTAAAAGAAAAGCATCAGAATAATGAAGACAGGATTCAGAAAGACGGTTTCCCAAGACTGAAAAAGAGAAAAACTGATGGTAAGAAACAAGTTATTTGCCAGATCTTAGCTTTTGTTCTGAATGACGTATTTTCAGGTGTTAATAATTTAAAACAACTAACTTAATAAGTAAATAAACCAAAATGGACCACCCATGCATGGGCCAGTTGACAATAGTCAGTCATCAATCTAGAATTATGAAGTCCCAAATGAATGAATAATAAAAATAAAACACTAGCTGGCAGGAAATTTGAAAGTTTCTTCAAGTTGTTTTTTTCTATTGTTTGCCATATTTTTATTCACTAATAGGAAAAGTACTGAACTAAGTATTCTTTTCCTCTCATTTAAAAATGGTATCTTAAATTTATGAAATTTTTGCTTCATATTTGATCTTATGAACTCAAGGTATCCTCTCACTCTTTTCTTGCTAATTCTTTAAAAAAATATTTTAATTGTGATGAAATATACATAACAAAACTTGCCATCTTAGTCATTGTGAGCATACAGTTCAGTATTAAGTATATTTATTCACTTTGTGCAATCAATCTGCAGAATTCTTTCATCGTGCAAAACTGCAACTCTATATTCTTGACTCTTGAGTATTATAGTGATTTTACAAAAGACAGCTTTGTGATATTGAACTGAAAATAAATCGTACACAGAATGCATGTCTGTAACCTTTCAATTGGTTTAATATTTAGCTCATTTTTTTTTGGGGGGGGGGGCTCTACTCTAGATATGTTAGATCCTGTTCTTTTTTATTTTATAAGATGGTCAGATTTAGTCACATTTCAGAAATAAGTTTACAACATTTATAGATTTGGTCAAACCTGAATATCTGATTGGTATTAATGCTATAGAAAAAAAGAATAAAAAATACAGAACTCTTTCATATTTAGTAAAAGAGAATTAAAGAAGAGAAAGGTTATCACAGGACTTTATTGTTTACCTTACACCAGTATACTGGGTGATTGAGTTAAAGTAAGTTATGTGATAAATTATGTTTCTAAAGTTTATTTGAAATATATTTATGGGGGCTTCAAAAGGGAGGGAGTTATTTTAAAATTGACATAATGTGGAAGCAATCCTTGTCTCATTTTTGCAATCTAAATGGAAGCTCCAAAGGTACCATAGAGTAGTTACTGATCATTAATCATTTGTTCATTAGGCATATGATTGTGAAGGACATGCCCAGAAAGGCGTGGCACTGAGGGGCTAAGATGTGAGAAAGGAAGACAGCTCTGTAAATCGATGGAGGAACTGCATTTCCACCAGAGACACAAAATGAGGAGAGGTATGGAGGATGGAGCCACTATAATCTGGGAGCACCAAAGAACACAGAGCAGGCAGCAAGAGCCTCTTACCGGTCCTGCCACCGGAGCCAATGTTTTAAATTGCTTGCTCTTAATATTTTCAACACAAATGTAATAGTTTAGTTGAATAACTTCAACTCTAATTTTGTCTTACAAATTTACATTAAAATAGTGATTTTAGATTCTTTTTTCTCTTTACAAAGGAATAAAAATATCTAAAAGATGTTTGAATGGTTTTGTACATTTTCATGTATTAATTATAAGTCATGTAATTATAAACTGAATATGTCATCCTAGTCAATGAAGCAGTAAATCTAAAATGACAAGCTTCAGAGACTTGGGATTTGAACAGAAGATAAATGTTATATAAAGATACACAGACTGGGGATTTGTTGGACTCCATAAGCCAATTTTTATAAAATCGTCTATTTTCTGTTTATGAAGCAGACTTTTTTCCCTAAAACGTTATTTCATTTTTCATCATTTACCCTTAATCCCATAAAGTCTAGCACCTGTTAAAAATATAAATTATCCTTGGAACATTATTATTATTGCACAAGAATTTTAAGATAGTATCACAAAGATAATTTTACTTCTTAATGTAACACTCAAGCCTTAAAAATAAAGATTAGAAGGGATTATATATTGGCCTATTTTGACACAGTGTTGTCAAGATCTAGAAATCACAAATAAAATTACCTTAATAACAACTACCTGGGAGATAACTGATTGTCTTCCAGACTCTAAACGCTTACTTAAAAAGAAAAACCATTATAGTTGTGCCAATATTTAAAAGATATCATTTTAATTATGATTTATGTTGGGATTTTCTTTTATTTGCCACCTAGTCATTAGAATAAAGGTGTTTTTTTGTTTTTTTGTTTTTTTTTTTAAAAGAATAGTCCTTTTGATTTCTTTTTGGCAAAGAATTTAAAGAAACAGATTTTTCTTAGTTCAATCTAAAACAGAAGAAAGTAAATAAACCACATTTGTGTTTACATGGGGTTTGCAGAAATATGTTCAAGTAACATTTTTGTTTGTCAATAATCTTTTAAAGTGATTATGTGATATATATCTCTATATCTATATAAAAGCATCCCACCACTTTGATATTTTTTTAGTCAAATTGTGTGTGTGTGTGTGTGTGTGTGTGTGTGTGTGTGTGTGTACATGGTTATAGAGGGAGAAAAACAGAATAGATGAATAGAGGAATTCATAGAGGAAGATATGGAGATGTTAATTCTGATTGGGTATAAAATATTTTATATATAGCTTCAAGTTTCAGCATAGTTAATATAAACATCAACATAGTTAATATAAACATTCAACAAGTACCTAACAGCCTGAGATATTTTCTGTAGCCTAGTCAGTACACTTCGAGATCACCTCACACCTCACACTTAAAAATACAATGTTCACAAAATCTTTAAGAATCTCTCTTGAACGTTAAATAACATCAACAGTTTTGAGGCAATGATTATGAATATTCTCATTGCTTTCTGATTCATCAGCAGTAAAATGACCTACATATTTTCGTCTTGTATAAGCAATATCATGCCACATTAAAAGTTTAATTAAGCAGGACAAAACAAAGACACACTCCTCTTTCTAAAAGTTGCTGCAAGTTTTGCGCAGTGGTAGTATCTAAAAGCTGATGCAGCTGTGTCACTCCCTTGGAAAGTTACACAGTAATGTTTCTCTTTCACTTATCAAAGAAAGGCATATGAGAAGCAGAGATGCCACTCGCACGAATGCTGTATTTTATTTGTCCTGAAATATTCCCACACAATTTTGGTGAGGAGTAGTCCCTGGGACCTTGGAATTTAGATAACAGAAATCTCAAATATGTAGGAAGCTGACTCCTGCTCTCTCCACCCACACACAGGACAGACATCAGAAATCAAACAGATCTCCGTGGGTCTGGATGAGCCCAAGAATCCTTCTCAATGTAATTATCCAGGGTGTAACCACTCATTTTACCACAACTAAATAACTAAGGGGTTGCAAATTGGTTTTAATTTTAGTGCTACTCTTATAGATCAATTTGATAACAGAAAACTACTGTGGGAAACAGGAGTAAATAAATTTATAAGACTTCTCCACTTGGAAGAGGTAATGTATGGTGTGAATGTTTTAAAATAAGTATGTCTGTTAAGTTAGTCCTCATATTCTATAACTTACTGACTTCACCACGTTGATATGTTTGTTCTCATATTTCACAATTGACAAATTATTTCCAAAAATAATTTGTGCATTTCCACTTGGAAGAGTCAGATAGAAACTTCAAAAAATATATATGTAGTGTTCTCTTCAGCAGCCCATACACTGAAATTGGAACCATACATAGATTAACATTGCCCCTGGACACAGATGGCACACAAATTCATGAAACATTCCATATTTTTTAAAAAGAATGCAAGCAAAAATAAATAGGTATATCTTTTTTCTTTTAGAGGTACAGAATATAGATTTACCAGTATAAGAAATATCATTCTAATAAAATGAATAGTGACTTCAGTCACTTTACACATGTTTATTTAATATAAAGTTATATTTTAAACACATTTTTGCAAGAGATTTAATATTAATTTTCTAATGAAAATGTAGTGTGGGTTGCATATTTTAAAATACAACCTTTGATCTAGTTATATTGATTTTATTTGCTTATATGTATCCTAAATCCAAAATGGTTTCTCTTTTGTTTTTTGAAGAATTCTACTTCATGTTGAATACAAATAGGCAGGAGGAACTCACAAGTAAAATGCTGCAATCTCCCTAGCAATTATTGTTTCATTCATAATTATTACAATTCATGAACATTTATCATTTGATAAAGTGAAAATGTCAGGCAATTTATGTTTAATTATTTAATTAAATATAAGGCAAGTTACAGAAACATTCATACAGTGATAAGGCCTTCTAACAACACCCTAAGGAAATTCTAATTATATCTGGTCTTTGTTTCATCTTTGGAGAAGCAATTTAATTGACTCAAGTTACCAAGTGCGAGTTAAGTCGAATTTCCTTTGGCCTAACTCAGAGGAGTCAAAACAACTGAATAGAATGCAAAAGAGGAAGTTACAGTTTGTTCATAAAAACCTAATTAAACACACACACAAAAATCTGAATCATGAAAATGCAAGTGGCCATCTCTATCAAAGAGCAGGATTCAACTTTCTGAATGATTACAAAGAAATGGGAAAATGCTGCTTTAGACGCTGTATGGGACACGCATTTGAACAACCAAGGGTGCAATGACTACTCTAGGATCCCAGGACAGAGAGGTAACAGAGTTGAGCTCTGGGAATGACAACTGAGAAATAAGGAGGGGAACACTGAAGGAAAGGCTTGCATAACTAAAACTGGCTGCGGTAGAAATTTTTACAGATGGGAAGTTCCAGTTCTCCAGTTTGGGGTCTAATCTGCCCAAGTAACTTTCTTCATGAAGCCTTGGGTGAGAACAGTCTCTCCCTTCCTTTTTCAGGACTCAGCTCCACATTTCCTTTACATTTGGGTTTCTTCCCCCAACCATCCTGGAATTCTAATATGCTTGTGTTTATCGTATCTATCTGCCACTTTCTTTTTGCAAGTAAATTCAGTTCGGGATCTGTTCCTAGACATAAAGATTAATAAAATGCAATGGAATTCAAGGATGTGAGTTCGAGTTCCTACTGTACTGCTGGTTAGCAGTGAATGCTGCGCATTCAAATACTATCTCAGTGTTATTCTCAGAATGAACTTACTCTCCCTGGAATACATCTGATCTCCAAATGGTCCCTTCCTATAGGTGTCCCCATTAGTATCGCCTACCCAGAAAGGCCTTCTCTGAAGACCAATCTAACATAGTTTCCCAAGAATGTTACATTTTTTAAAGAACACTTAACAATAAGTCATATTTTCTTATTTGTTTTCTTTTCTCTTCTCCATCAACCTCCCCTTCCCCAGCAATTTAGAGGCACCATGAGAACAGAGGTCTATATGGTTTTAGTCTCCACTATATTCCCAGCATTTAAAAGAGTGCTAGGAACATAGCAGGGGTTCTATAACATGCATTGTGAGAAAGTGAAAGAAATGCTATTGTATCATACAAATGAAAAGAAATTTTAAAGAATCCACAAATGGATTGGTAATTTTGAGTATGTGGTGCAATTATGTTTGTGAATAGAGTTCAAAATTTTGTTAAGAATATAGGCCACAGTCTCCATTATCTTGGAGTATATGACTCACTGAAGTCCAGTGGCCACTGCTCTTGAGTGGCAAGGGACATCGCTTCTTCCTACCATCCTTAGCACCTGGCACCGTATCACATGCATAATAAACATTCATTAATTACTGCAAAGTGATCTGCACAGTTTCCCTGAAATTGGAGACAGAGTTCTTGTCAGAGTCCTGGCAGACATGTGAGCAGTCTGACAACATCCTGACGGTCTGTTACAGTGACCAGATGGGACCTGCACATCGGCACCCGAGCTGGGGAGCAGCACATCCATGAACGAGGCGATTGTTCACCTCTGTGACTGCCGAAGAGTATGTGCTCCGCAGGCAGTAGGAACAGATTAATCACCATGAAACTAAGCAGGGTGCCTTATAGCAAAAGTTAATTTATTGGGATGTCCACATGGTTTCCAAGTGTTTATATTTTCTTAATTTCATGTATTAAGAATAAAGAGGATGGCAATTTTCTTTTAACAATAACTTTATGTTAAATAAGAAAGTATTTATTCTGATCTTTCCCCCTAAATAACAGACTTATAGGGTAAAGCACTGGATGGGAATGTCTTATTCAACCATGAAGTGAGTTAATGAACTCGAGTCAGAAGGTCATTCTGATTTATAAAAGCATTTCTGCTTCTACTCAATATAAAGCAAGCAAGTACAGGATTCTCGTGTATGAAAACCCTCTTGTTTTAGACTTCCTTAAGGAAGGGAAAATAACAAAGTCCTTTTCATGCTACACAAAGATGGGTGTTTAAATATTCCACTGAAAATTATTACATTCAAAGTTATAAACTCGTCTAGCTTAGTTATTTTCCTAATAAAAATGCCTTAAAATAGGGCATAATTTAATGAATTTCAAGTAATCTGACTAATTTTTATAATTATATACCTAGATTTCATGTTCAATTAGAAGAAACATAATATAATAATAACATTATGATTGCTAGGTGGAAGAAAAAACATTTCTAAATATAGAATTACTTTTTTAACATTCTGCTAAATAAAAAATATCAGTCCTCTTAAAGTGTGTAAATTCTAGTGTAAACATTTCATCTTCAAGTTTATCCATTGTTTTCTTTTAAATAATTCTGATTATTTTTTGGTTAAATAACCAGCAGAGTAAAGTTCTTAAGTAAATGTGAGGACCTAAATTTTAGCAAGATGAAATGAAATTGTCTCATGTTATTCCACAAAAATATGAAGTTAAGTAGACTGTATAATGTACATATTGCTTCAGTACATTGTTTTTTCATTTCAAAACCAGTAGGAAAACTTCTTCCCCTACACCCCAGAAACGTTTTACAATTTTTTACATTAAAAACAATTGTAGATTACTTTAAGCAGAAAATGTTTAAATATTATACTGTTTTTGCCTTCAGTACCATAAGTTTAGCTAGAATGTTTTTGTTGGGTGGGGCCTACTTAAAGATCTTCACTTTTGCTTAGCTAACATAGCAATTCTTTGAACATTTTATGTGCAATATTTAATGTTTACAGTTTCAAGAGAAAAAAATGTAAATTAATAAAATAAAGGAATAAAAAGGACTAAGTATTATCTCAAAATGACAATAAACTATTTAAAGATTAATTTTGAAGATTATTTAAAAATGGTTCAATACATGTCCTACATTTTTTTATGTAGACATTTGGTTATAGCTTAGCTTTGTAGAAACCCAACAAAATTATTATTGAAAAGCATGGGAAACAAGATGTAAAACAGCAAATGTTTTGATTGAGGCTATTAATATCTAAAAGGTAAATAATATAAATAAGAATATTAACATTTTCCATTTGGTTACTCCTCTGATTCCAGTGTGTATACTTCAGGAATGATATACAATGAGCTCACGCATTACATCTGGAGGTAGAGCAAACGTTCTTTTGAGTGCTCATTTTATGGCTTAGTAGTATAGCAAGATGTTAAAGGAGAAGTTTTTGCTGAGAAAAAACTCAAAATGAAAGGCAAGCTCAAGATGCACATATTTTCAAAGTAGATGGCCAAGAATCATTTTGATGTTTTCACCCAAGTTTAAACCATAAAATAGTGAGACACTTGAGAAGAATACTTCGTCTGAGACAAATATAGCATGTGTCCTACTACCCCTAAGGTGAAGATTGGTGACAGGGAAGGGGCTTTGGAGGGACCTTATGAAGCACTTGCTGTTGAACATGAAGTTCATGGAACATCGTGGACTAGTGTCTACAGGGTGAGAGAAAGACTGACAAGCTGCAATGAAATCAAAGAATAGGCTCAATGGCTGTACTAGTATCAGCCTAAACTTTCAGGTGTATCCAGGAAAATGCATGTGACACTTTCTATGGAGCAGATGTGAGCCATGTCACTCAGTAATTGGATGGCATGAGATCACCTTTGGTCCCGCTCAAGAGTGTTGAGAAAAGACTTTAGAAGTTAACACCTGAAGAATTGCCATCTATTACAGGATAAAGAATGAGAACATACCAATCAGAGGACAAATAAAGTCATCCTAATCCAGAGAACAGCAAGGAAAAGAACTCTAGAAAGTGAAAATTCCAAAAACTCACAGAAGTGCCTGTGAAGGGAGCCACCCTTAAACATCTGACGAGGCCAGAAAGTTGAGAGGTCCCTGGATCAATGACAATAGAGTAGACACTTCTCTGAACCTTCTGCCCTTTTCTTGTCCCAGTTTGACTCTAGATGAGTCAGACACTGTGGTTAACAAGATTCTGGAAAAGGAGGAGCACTAGGAGGACTGGAAGAAGCCTCTGAACATTTCCCTACGCTGGGCGTTCCCTCACCTGGCACGCTCAAGCAGGGAGAGGGAGAGGGAGAGGAGGTTCAATTTTAAATGAGGTTGGGAGTTTTACTACATTAGACTGAACCTTTTAGTTGCTGGATAACAACTGTCAGTAATACCTAACAGTGGCCTGAAAAGCCAGATGGCTGCTCTGACAGGTGTGGCCCAGTTGGTTGAGTGTCATTTCATGCACCGAAAGGTCATTGGTTCGATTCCCAGTCAAAGCACATACTCAAGTTGTGGTTCAATCCCCGGTTGGGGTGCATATGGGAGGCAACGGATTGATATTTCGTTTTCTCTCTCTCTCTCTCTTGCTTCATCTCGTTCTAAAATCAATTATATATATATATATATATATGAAACAGGCCTGCTGAAGTTACTGAACAGCCCCAGGAAAAGAATTAAAAGGG